TAGATCAAACAGATATTGGCGTGATTATGATTGCACACAGTCATTACAAAAATGACTTTCAAACTGTCAAAAGGTCAGTTGCTCTTAACCGTGGCTTCCAAGCTTCTATACAGGGACGGCTGCTCAGTGCTCACCAAATAAGAGCATCTGGAGGCAGTCACTAGCTGATGAGAGCTGAGGGCCTGGGCCACTTCAGAGAGTTAGTGTTGGAAGGAAAATCTGTAGAAACAGAGGCGGAGAAGCTCGGAAGCCATGTTGTGTGTGTCTCGTGAGAACGGAACCTAATTACAGGGCACCGAGAGAGACTTTGGAGCAGGAAAACGTATTACTAAATTGACATTATGATAAAATATGTAAATATGTCCTCATTCAGTGGTTAGCAGTTGTAACTCACGGTAAGAAGTTCCTGGGTTGGATTCCACCTCCAGACGGGGCCTTTCTGTGTGGAGTTTGCATGTTCTCCTTGTGTCTGTGTAGGTTTCCTCCAGGTGCTCCGGTTTCCCCTACCTCTAATAACATGTACAATAGGTCTCAATGTAACTAACAAGAGATTGGTTAGTGATGGCTGGAGGCTTGGTACGGCAGTGTGTTCAGTGTCTCGCTTCTCAAAGAGTGAAATATATTGGTACTCCAATATCATTGTAAATCGCTTTGAGTGACCTTGGTCTGTGAATTACACAATATAAATAAAGATTCCATATGTGGTCATTACAATATTGTAATTAGAAAATGGGAATTGTCTTTTGGGAGAGTGGGTGGAAATATTAATTAGTGCCTTCATCATATTGAACCTCACATTACCACATGTCGTTCAGCTCCATTCCAATAACCACAACCTACTGTACTTAATAAAGCTTTCAGAGAATGCATAAGTCCCTGTCTGAGCATTATAAATCATGCACCAATGCCAGAGGAGAGCAGTGTCCTTCAGCCAGGCCTGCTCTCTTCACACCTCACCCTCCAACTGTACACCACTGACATGAGTCCTGAAAAATGATGTGCGACCTGTGCTTCCCATTCATCAAACTCTGACAAGGAACAATAATCCACAAAACCATAGAGAACACTGGATGCTGACAAGGGTTTGGCCATAGGAGTGCATTGTTTTAAACTGGAAGGGTCTGCAGATGCTGGCAGACATGGTAACTTTGAGAAGAGTGGTTGGGAACAAGTGGTGCCAGAAAAGTTGTACATGTTATTTATGGTAGAGTTAAAAGACATTCTTGAGACGATTGCCCAATTCAAAAACACTTCCAGATTCCCTTCAGTGTGCTTCTGTAAATCTTAGGCTAGAGAAGGGGTGTCAAACCGGTCCTCAAAAGGCAGGTGCAGCTGCAGGTTTTAACCAAGTAGGAGCACACCAGACACCATCCATTTCCTCGAGTGAGTACAGTTTTAACCTGAAGACTCGAGGAAATGGGTAGTCTGGTGCTTGGTTGGACTTAAAACCTGCGGCCACTTTTAACTTCCTTTTCTGGAACCAGTTTGACACTCCTGGGTAAGACTAAGAGACTAAGGGCACGTTCACAAATTAACTGCACTGAATTCTGGTTCACTTGAGGGAAAAATGCTTCACAGATCTGTTTCAAAATGTGTAAAGTGAATATAGTAGACACATGTTCACTTGTTTAGTGAACAAGTGAACATGTTCCCCCCCAAAAACAGGATTGGTCCGGTGAAAGTAAACCAAATCAACAAGTGTGAGCACGTTCTAAAGCTTACGGCCGCACTGACATTATAACAGGTGTATTTCTTGTCACTATTTTCTCATTCCTTCCTTAGGCCCAAACTGCGCATTAGAACAGGACAGAGGTATGAAATATATGAAGCATGATTCCCATTCTCCAGTGCAGGTGTCAGAGCTGATGATGAGTGCGACCAGGGTGAAAAGCAAACACTCCCCCGGGTGAAATGGTTTTCCACGTGGCTGTTCTTTATGATGGGAGTGGCGATGGATGACTATAAGGACTACAAGTGCTGAGTCCAGTTATTTTTACAGCTTAACGGAAAACATTTTCACAGTAAACATCAGTGTTTTATCTTTGTGTACCCAGCGCAGTCTTGGTTAATGTGAATATAAACAGGGATAAGGTCACTGTTTAACTAACAGAGCTGATAAGGCTTAAGGTTACACATGCATTTGTTACATATAGGGGGAATGTTGATAAGGAAAACAAATACTCATCAAGGGAATCTGTCTATGCATAAAAGAAAACCTAAATAATAAATATAAATTTCAGCCTACACTCAACAATAATACTTTGCATCAAACAAAATATGTGTGAGAGATAGTCTGGATTACTGCCTAACTTTAGTTTAGTGTTGATTTATTCCCACTTGTTCTCGTCTTGCCAGCATCTTTCTCACAGCCATGTCACATTAGTGTTAGCACCGCGCTCAAGGCACCACATCATTAGCAAGTTCAATTAATCCATCTTTCTCATAAATTTTCCAAATTACACTTTTCCTCTCTTCTTGTGAAAAGCCAAAGGGGACATGGGACAGCTGCTAATTACAAGTCTGAACCAAACATGCTGTGGTAAGAAGAGATAAGGCTGAATGACAGCAGCGTGCACTTAAAAAAATCATGTCGCATAGGGAATACTCCATGCGAGTGATAAAAATAGTGCGTTAACATGTCATTGGCGTAGAGTCTTTCATTAAAGAAAGGATCATCGCTTTGGCAGAAGTCTTCCTCTGACAGCTTCACAGACACACAACTCTGTGTTTACGAGAAAAGGAATCATCTGACTTTAGCACAAGGAGCCTCGACGTGGCAACCGTCCAGTTCCATAAAATAATCAGAGCTCAGGGGCAAGTGAAGAAGGAAGTGTTCACTATGAGAGACGCAGAATACAATTAGACATATGACCTGAGGGTAAATAGCTGAGGGAGAAACAAAAGCCAATGTCTGCACTGGGGTGAGAAAGGCAGTGGTGGAATAGAAATGGGGTATGGAATAAGGAGAAATCTACAACTTTACTCAGTTGTACAAGGAACCAACATGCATCAGGTCCAAAGCATGTCCTGTCCACATGGTTATTGACGAGCACATTCACTGTGTATTTTATCATAAACTACAGCAATATCTTACCATGCCCCATTTTACCAATTACCCTTAATATTGATTTAGATTACTTTTCATTGAATAAATCATCATGTTTTTTACTACAAGTCCTGGATCATCAGAGTCTAAGGACAGTGATGATCCAGGACATGTATGGATTGGATATTGGTCATCTCTCTATGGACTAATGTGTTTGTTATTATTGCATTTCCTGTGTTCAAAATTTTATCAGTTGTTGGTGAATTAACAACGTAGTGAAGTCCGCCGAAATGACAGTTATTGTGATTTAGGGCTAGGCAAAAATAAATATAATCATATATAAAATATAGTAGTTTCCAATTGTAATGTGTGGTTCTTAAGTGTTATATGGTACACAAAGCTACAAAATCAAGTTCAATTTGACCAAGATCAATTTTCACTCTAAGGAATGCAAAATGGAAAAACTATATTTAGTGATTATCATTTGGTATCTCACAATAGTGCTAAAGAGTAGCACAGGGGTGGCAAATAGGTAACTTTTTCTATCAGGGATCTAATATTGGAGCAGATGTAACCCATGCAAATATGAGGAGCTGGAGGCACTGAAGCTCCGTTATCCAGGATTCAAAAGTCGTCTCTGAATAACAAACCACTGTTCAGCACAGTCTCAGCTGTGACAGACGGGGTATTTTTAAAACCGAGAAAGTCTTCAAAGTTTCACATTGCAGCACATATGGAGGCATTTTCACAATCATCTCTTCAGCACAGCAGCACAGCGACGTTCTTCTTCAGAGATCAATTACTTTACTCTCCAACTTTATGAAACTCCACTCTACTAAGCCTCAACAAAACTTACTTTTGACTGTTATATTTATATATTTTATATATATATATATATATAATATATATATATATATATATATATATATATATATATATATATATAAAATATATAAATATAACAGTCAAAAGTAAGTTTTGTTGAGGCTTAGTAGAGTGGAGTTTCATAAAGTTTGAGAGTTTATATATTTTATATATATATATATATATATATATATATATATATATATAAAATATATAAATATAACAGTCAAAAGTAAGTTTTGTTGAGGCTTAGTAGAGTGGAGTTTCATAAAGTTTGAGAGTTTATATATTTTATATATATATATATATATATATATATATATATATATATATATATATATAAAATATATAAATAATAAGTTTTGTTGATACTATTGATAAATTGATTAAGCTGTGTTACTGAAAATTTAATTCCAGTTCAGGATGTTTGCTCCAACTTGGAAAATGACCCCAAAACTGGGGCTCAGACAGTTCTCTGATCATTGACTTTTATATTATGTCGCAAACATTTAATACTGGTTAATATTTGAGAAAAGCTCAAATACTGTTTAAAAGTAATTGTTAAAATGTTATGGAAGTTATCAAATGCACTGAACGTAAGAGGCTGATATGGCACCCTGCATTAAAGTCAAATTTGATTCTAATCACTTCAAAATCCATTGAAGTGATTAGATTTAGAAGATCCATTTCAAACCTACCTTAAATAGCATTAATAAGTATAAGTCGTGAAAATTAGACAGAATGAAATATTATGTCCATTATCTGTAATGTAGTTTTGCCCTATTCCTCAAACACAAAATATAGAAGAATATGCTTATACATTATGTTCCTCACACAATTGATGTCTAGACCATTGTAATCAAAGAAATAGGAAACAGCATGGATTTTGTGGCAGTAGTATTGGAGCGTATGTCAGAACGTGCTATACAAGCGGCTGAAGATGCGGTGTGGAAGGATGGATGGATGCATGGATGATGGATGGATGGATAGATGGATGGATGGATAGATGGATGGATGGATAGATGGATGGATGGATAGATGGATGGATGGATGGGTGCGTGTCTCCAATTCATCCCAACAGTCTACGTACCTGTCATCGTAGCAAAAATCGGCGCTCAGTGTGTTGACATACAGGAGCAAAGCCACGCCGCTGCACACCAATTCCGCGTACATCTCTGAGGTAAACTGGAAAACTTCCAAATAGAATCAAAACTCTCAAAGCCGCCAAAGCGAACGCGACGCAGATCCGAGCCCCCAGCAGCGACGTTCCCTTCAGAATCGCCGTCTTTTGTCAGGATGTGTCCGCGGAAACAAGTCCCCCCATAATCATCATCATCATCATCGCTGCTGGAGTGATCAAAGTAGGTAATCCATGGAGGCTGCTCGCATTTCTAACCCATGTTGTGGAGAGGCGAGAGGGCGAGTGTGGAGCAGGGGACGGGACGGAGAGCACACCGGGTCCTCTCGCTGGATGTGTGGCAGGCAGGAGAACGCACGCCGAGCCCAGCTTCCTCCTCACGCAGAAAGCGGCCAGCTCTGACGCTCATCTGTTGTGGGGAATGAACGTCGTGATTTGGAGCGACGTCAAACGAGCGCGCGTGCGACCATACGCTTCCGGTCTGATTTTCAAAACTAGAGCTCGCACGTGGGGCTGTTGTTTATAGTTTTTTTAGCTAACAGTAATGTGATGGGTACGTTCTATAATGTGAGGATTCAGTGAAATTATTTAAAATATATTTCTGTTGTTTGTCAATATACCCCATGTCGAACGCAATGTAAGAACTTTAAACATATAGCAAAAATACCGTAAAATGCTAATTTTTCTAATAACATAGTAAGTACCTATACAATGCAAAAATGGAAGTACGTAATTCAATCTATTTAACTAGTTCATCGCCCACAAAACAGTTTTGTTGAATAAAGTTTTCTTTCTATTTCGTCAAAAAAAATTGTATCCGTAATTCAGCCCTCATCCGAAACAAGACTATTTCTGTTCTGATCAACGCATTCTTTTGATGAGCAAAACAAGTTAAGTACTGCAGTTTTAATAAGGACTCTAATATATATTATCTAAAACATGATATACACATCCTTATATTGTGTCACTCTGACCTCACTTCTTTTCCGCGTCATCTCCAGTGTTTCAACTTGACGCTGGTCCACGAGCGCGTGTGGTTTGTACAAGACCTCTGCACGCATGCGCCCTGTCTCTCCCCGGGCACTCGGGGGTAACTAGAGGTAACGCACGCTTCATGATGCACAGACCCACGAAAGGGGGAATTCCTTGCGCCATCAACAGTTCATAAGGTGGAGGTGGCCTGCTGTGTGTGGAGACGAGTGCCTCTGCCAATAGTTTTCTTTTTCTCAAGTCCCCAGAAATCGGGCTGACTTAGTTGCGATAACCCCGTGTTACAAGAAGCACGCATACTGTAAATAATTGTAATTTGCCCGACAGAACTTTATATGCCCAATGCGAAATAATAAAAAATGATAATACAATTGATCAAAGCAAAATAACAACATCCTATGTGATCAATTCTGGATCCTAAGTGTGTATTGATTGTGCTTTCACTCAGACCCATCTGTCAAGTTCTCTTTTATGGAACAACAGCAGGACAGGATGATGTCATGCATCTGGAAGAACAACAAAACCAGCTCTTTTCATTCTCTTTTTTTTCATCATCAACTAGCGCCAAAAGCGTCAGTAAATTTACAGCATATGTCAAAACTTTTTCTTCTATATCATACTGTATAGTCTAAACGTATTCATGCAAGATCACAGCAGGTGAAAAGGAAAGTCATGCATTTAGTTTTAGGGTGTCTATATGTGCTCCCATATTGAACTATGATACAGCAAAACCTGACAGTGAGAGTTATATGCTTTAGAAGACCAATAGTGTGTTATCTATCTTACTAGCCAGACATTCTAACCACTGACAAAATTTATGAATTTATTCTAATTGGTTGATAATTGGTTGGTTTCACGTCAACAACAGCCAGTGTGTGGATCACTGTAATGTCAGTGATGCAGAAGACCTCCCTGCCTGTGCCCTTGCAGTTTGTGGAAATTACAGAAACCCTGCTCTTAATAATTACATGTTCTGACTGAAAATCTCCACGACATGGAACATTTGCGAGTGCGGTGGTGAATGGATTCATGTTGATGACAGTCTCACTTAGGTCTGTCTTCATAACAAGCCACAACTCCTATTGCTCTTCAACTATGGAAACTATTACATTAAATGATAGATTGATTTGCATGATTAAAATTGGGTTTGTGTTTTTTGTGACAGTATATCCAAGAGACAAATTAAAGCTGGGGTCGCTATCCTTATTCCCCATAATTATTACAGCTTGTTTATGCCAACAGATAAAGTCAAGTAAAAGGTTATGAACAAATCCGACTATAGGCTGGCTAGAAAACTGAACAACGCATGAAAACTTGGCAGAGTCACAATTTGACACTTAGGGATCAGAGCTGATTGGTGGAGGGAGGGTGGTCTTCTCTTTTTCTGTCTGAAAACTGTTTTGAAATTGAGGAGCTGGAGTTAGATGGATTTGTTGTTACATGGATTAATGTATAGTTTTAAATTATAGGTAAAAAAACACGAGATAATCCATCCAGCAGTTTACTCAGAAATACCACTGGCACAACCATGTCACTTTTTTGATTTCTCATAGAGCTTGCCTATGTTTGAAAATAACAACTTTAACTTATCTAACCTTCTGTGGAAAAAGTGTTGGACAAACACAGTAACTTTGGCACCTGATCCTGTTAAACATATTCATCTTGCATGTCTGGTTCCTGATATATTATGTGGAATAAAAAGGATGTTTGGCATTGCTATTTATTCACAGGGGCAGCCAAAGTATAAGAACAGAGAACTGGAGCTTTCTGCAAAAAAGATGAGATGGTTTGACGAGGCAAATTTTTAACAGAAATTAAAAACAATGCATATTTATGGATGTTACACCAAATAATATTTATTGGACGTGGAGGGCCAAAGTATCAATAGGCAGCGATAAATTCAAACGGCAGCCAAATCTAGCATCTGCTTATACTATACTGACGAGGTTTTTGTCTGAGGAATGCTGTGGCTTATGGCTTTCTAAAAATTGCCAATAACTCGACTTGTAGAAAGAGAATATCGACAAACCATGAGTGCTTGCAATGATGGCAGACGTCCTACTGGTGCAGAGGTAATTTCACCAGTCTGTGCTGTTAGTAAGGGCTAGTTTATATGAATTAAAATAATTACGCAGGGAGTTGTTCCAATCAATAAATCAGATAAAGTCAGATCCTTACTGTATTTTAATATATTCTTCTTTTGTACTGAAAGAGCACGGTGCAACATGAGGCAGGCGTTACATAAATAAAACGGCATTACAGTGATTGATGTAGGCAATACGTTTTTGGACTATGGCAGGAATAGTTTGGTTCCAATATTTGTGCGCAGTGGTTAGCAATGACAGCTTGGGTTTGATTCTTTTTCTCTCCCTGTGTTGTCTGCATAGGTTTCCTCCGGGCGCTACAGTTTCCCCTACCAATAACATAAATACGCAAGGAGTTTATTTGTATCGCACAGTTCATACATAAGGAAACTCATAACAAGATAGAAACAGTCACACAAAATTACTCCAAATTGTGAAATACTAGTCTGTGTAATGTGCTGCATAAATTTACAAATGAATTATACTTTTTGATAATGTCTGTTCTCAAGATTATATGAGAGACAATAAATTGAAGCAAAAACCTGAGGCAGCTAAATATGCCCCAGTTGAGTGCTTATACTGTCATTCTCGTGAATCGATAAAACACATTCATCTGTGCATGTATTTATTGTTCATTGCCTCACATTGTACCAGAGGCCAAGTGCTACACATTTGTTAGTCCGATATGAATAATTCAGTTTGAGGAGATGTGTTTGGGTGTCATTAATGGGAATTCCAGTCGATCAATGGTGATGTGTTCAACAGAGATAATCCAGAGTTAAAATGGTTTCTTCAAATGACCATTGCCATACGAGCCTGGTCTTTCCATACCATCGTACTTATTTAATTTCGTAAGGTCTGGTTTTGCTCCTTTGAGCTCTGTCAACAGGTGGGAGGGGTTAGCTCCTTTTGCAGACTGAAACGATTGGATCTGAGTATGTAATGCACCAGAGTGAGTGAGGCATTTAAAATTTAGCCTAGCTTTAGTCATCTCCTTTGCCACTGACGGAGCCCGTGGGGAGTAGAGCCACAACATCTTTGCCGCAATGACATTTGCTAAACATTCCTCTTGCTCCGGTTTGAATTTCTTGATATTTGGGCGCCGAACCAGAACGGATTACTTTACTATCGCATTCGGCGCCATTGCCAAACTACAACCAACAAATTTGCCGCAAATTTTTGACATCATCGCCAACTACCTACAACACCCGCCTCCCCTGCTCGCTGATTGGTCAGATGGGATACAACCGAGGTAACCGCAGCCCCTAGGATCAAACCCAGACGTACATATAGGGAAATAATAATTGGCCGGAGTTCATGAATGGCTAAGGCCAGGCTATCGCTGTACGGTTGTTTCTGTCTCTCACTGGAGCTTTATTATGAAGACATGTCTCTCTTCAGTCATAACCTGGATCCACCTGAAGCACAAATGTGACAAAGCATGAGCCCAAAACCGCTGTTACTTTGTCGAAGCCAGAAACCTTTATGAAACATTGATGTGCAAAAACTACAGGTGGTACTAATAACAAAAAGATAGCTCTGTTTAATTCATGCCCCGCAGAACCCATCGATCCTGACAGCGCCGCAGTAATAAGATTTAAACCAGAGAGCCTTTTCTCCAGCTTTGACCTGTCAATATGTCCTCCCATTTATTGTAAGTTGAATTGTCTTCAAAGAGACAGACATTCTCCACTGTAAAAGAAATAGCCTAAGGTTTGCGGGAAATGTTAATATAAAACTCATTTAAAAGCGTATTTGATTTAGGTTACCGGCTAATAACAATGTAACATTTTCATTTAGAAATGTCTGGACTGTGTGGTTTTGTTGTACCACACATCTGAAACAACTGCAATATTGAACTAACCAATAAATGTTAAATTCTCATTCTAGAAAAAAGTCATTAATACAGCTTTTTATGATCAATTACAACAACCAAAAATAGCAGAACAAGAGTCCAGATGTTTCTTCGCTTTACATTAAGCTGATTACATGACGTCAGTCCATTCAATGCATCAGTGAAATTACAGCAGGTGGAAATCCTCCACGATTGTGAACAAGTTATTCTATAGTAAGTCTTCATTCTGGCAAAGGCAGATGGAGCAGGAAATGGCAAGAGTATCTGACAAAATCATTTTAGATGGATACAGCAGCACCTATTAAAGTGTAAGATGAGCCTCAACACAGGCCGCGCTGAAGGGAAGTGGGCAGAGCGCTGGGAATACGGCCGGGTGTTACGGGCAATTACCATTTTAAAATCTATTCTGCTGGACTGCCATTAAACGCCGCTAAAATTGTTAAACCTTTCGAACGTATAATTATTTTAAAAAATAATATA